CAATTTCCATAGAACCATCAGTTTTACAAATAAAAAATTGTTTAACAAAAAATCACGGCAATCGGAAAAGAATTTTTTTTCGAATTTCACTTTGCTTACTTCTATTAAAATTTGACACATAATAAGACAATAGTATGCGAAAATAATCAATTTTTAAGCCATAAACACCAGGTGTCCGCCTGCTCTACGGAAAAATGCTCACTGTGCAGGCTGGAAAAGTGACCTTTATCTGTATTTTAATGCAATATGTGATCTTTACTTAATTTTATATTAATAAAAGGGCAATAATAATAAATGTCACCGCCACAGCCATGGTGATCGAAAAGAAAATTTGGTACCGGTATGGGCTTTGGCTGACAAAATGCTTTTCGTGAATAATAAAGGAGCGACAGAGAAATGATGTGTAACTTCTAGTAATTGAAGAGTAGACATTAGCTTCTGACTACGTACAAAACTGGACAACGTTACATCATAAAACTTCAAAAAATAATGGAAAGACACTGCGTTTTGAATCTCTCAATGATGTTGAAATTCGTCTGGTACCAGTTCTCATTAGAGTATCCTGATTAACACTTAAACCTGTAGTCGAGATAGTTGTTGGCACAATGTCTTTTGATATCGATGTTATGCCATGATTCGGTGATGCCGTTGATAAACGATGTAAATATATACGTTTTTCGTGACGTCCGTCAACATTTTGATTACTATTACTACCGTTTCTTGATACTCGTGGCATTAAATAATGTCCATTGGGTGATTGCAAGAAAGTATTTAAATGACGAATACAAAATGTAGCTAATTGTGTAACACTATCCAATAAATGTTTTGTAGATGGAAATTTTCGTTGAGAAAGGAGAAAAAATGCTTCTAAAAACGCTGCAAACGGTAAACCTAAAAGAAAACAGATAAGATGAACGTTATTGCTGTCATATTAGAAGAATCGTTTTACCCGGTGAAGATGTTTTGAGAACAAATTGTTGCCATTTTCTTAACATTTGTACGTATAAAATATCAACACTTTCTCGTGTAATAAAATCGTTCATAATGCCACATATTCTGAAAATAATACAATGATGCTGTTAGCAAAATCTTAGATGGTTATTTACATACTGCGCAAAATTTCTGAAGTGAGTAGCGGTCATCCTTTTATGTCCCATCATGACGACAATTTTAATATAAATGTACGCTATTTTATCTAATAAAAACATCTGTCGATATTTCGATTTGTAAGTTGACGGATAGATTAATTTCAGTAATTTTGTTCCTTTTGTCGTACCACTAATACCATTGTTTGCTGTTAATCCTTGTCTATATTGTTTTTTCAATAAATACATTTCATGTGGACTAAGATTTTTTTCATCACTCTCTATCATTGTTGAAATAGACTGATTAGCACCATTTTCACCGCTTTCATGATCATCGTTACTGATAAGCTGTTTTTTATTATTAGCTTTTAATTTTTTTCTTTTTACCATTTTTGGTTCATCTGTACGATTATAAGAAGTCAGAAATGGATCATCCTCATCTTCTTTTCCATTATCGCCGCCCACTAGTGTGAATGGATTTAATAAAACTTTTTTGTTTTGTTGCTGCTGTTCTTCATCATCTTTTCTAAACTCTTTCAGTGGTCGTGAAAAGTACGGATTATGCTTTGCATCAAAACGTGTTAGTCTGATGCTACGAATTTTTTCACTACGTTCATCGACACGTCGTTGAGCAACTTTTTCTAAACGTTGTGTCATTGCTTCTTCATCTAATTGAAACTGATAATGTCGCGCACTTTAAGCAAAAAAGAACACAATCGAGTAAACTAGCTCCTCTATGAGGGATCAATAGTTCATACATGGTGTGAAGTTTCTTTTTCGGTAATGCTAACTTAAGTGTTTCAAGAACAAGTGGTTTTTTTATTTCTTCATCAATTGGACTTGGTTGATAAATCACTCTGCCTAAAAATAATAATAATTTGATGGCTCTATTATATTATACTCTAAAACAATCTTTTCCACCTAGTTCTGTCTCTTTTTCGAAGTCCATTCGAAGGCTAGGATTGGCATTGACTTCTAACAGTATAGGTTTTAATTTATCGGTAAGAATAATATCGAAACCAACTATCTAAATGTAAATTACAAATGTATCAAATGAGGATAGGGGCTGCACGATCAAGGAAAAGCGAGGTAATCGCCTGCTTTCCACCGTTTGCTCCAAACTTAGAAGTAATTTATTTCAAAATCAGCTATCACTTCTTGTTTAATCTCATGTTTAAGTATTTATTGGAACATTTTTGAGCAGAACAAAGGAAAAATTATGCTATATTTACTTCTAATTTTCAAAAATCTCTTCCCTTTCTACTTTCAGACGTTTCGCAGCATTTCAAATCAATAGTTATTTTTTTCATAGTAACACATACCTGAAAACAAGAAATATTTTGTTTTTTTCCCATTGGTAATTCAAATTCATATTCAATTCTTAATTCGGGTAGAATGGCTATTATTGTTTTATTAATTAATTCTGTTATTAATAATTTTGTTTTATCAATTTTATCTTGTCCATACATCTTAATTAATTGATTCCATACAACGGATAGTTTTCGTTTACTTCCATCTGTTTGTTTATCATTTATCGTATGTTTATAGGTGGCACTTTTTTTATTCAATGAATAGTTGGTTAAATGCATAAATGTTTGATGTAAATTCTCTGTTGCCGGTGCTTTATAATCAATAGTGGCAAATCTTGCTAATCCTTCATCATAAAGAAACAGTTCTAATGGATATAAATTTAATATAAGAACATAAATTCGTAAATCAAATTTCAAACCGTTAATTAATAATGGACGATCAATATATTCTTGAATCACATGCGGACGATTGGTCATAATACAACTCGATGGATTACGTATGAGATAAATGCCTTCACCTTGTGAACCATCGGATGGTTTTACGATGAACGTTGTCAACGAACGTTTATGTTGTTGATCTTGTTCATGAATATAGCGAACATCGTCTCTGAATTGTTCACTTTGTTCGGGTATGAACCAGGTTTTGGGATAAAAATCATATTCAGCTGGATAAAGTGAACGCATGACGTTTAACGAGCGAGTTAAATGAACTTTTCGTAATATGTCATTCATACCTAAATAGAAATTAATTAATCACTAATATTTGCTTTGAAGAAGTAGAAAGTATATCACAGCATTTACATTCATCGATAGTTAATTATCATAGGATGACGAAATACTTATGGAGAGTTTAAATTTTTTGTAGAAAAATTTAGTCATTGTTTCCGAATGAAGAGCTTAATCTAACATTTTGGAGCTAAAATGAAGGCCTCCCTTTTTAGTTCAAAATGTTGTACAGTTCGATGGGAATTACCCCCTTTATCGGTCACAAACGTAAAAAAAGTGATCAAAATTGAGTTACAAATTTTTTTTCCCATGTGTTTTGCTGAAAAATGAAAAAGTATTTTGAAAAGAACCGTACCGAAAACGCTGCAAAAACGGTGTATAGTGGAAAAAAACTTTTGCTGCAAAAAATATGTGGAATAGCCGCCGATTGCGGGTTATAACGTTGTCTGATTTTCAAAGTTTTCTTCCATATGTTTTAAATTTAAACTCTTTTAAAATTTAAATTTAATTGTTTTTATAAAATTTTCCCATTAACTATAAAAAACGGACAACGTTACCTCTCGCAGTCGGCCATAGCGCACAATTTTTATAGCATGACTTTTGCTCCAGCACAGTTTCTTATTGCAGGATCTTTAACTAGAGTTTCACGCTTTAGTAAATGTGTGGCTCCTCACACTTTATCGAAGTATGTCAGTTTGAAAAGGTCGATTGAGTTTGAAGTTGGTGGATTGTAACATGTTGGCTCGACAGCTCAAAGTATTCTCTACAATTTTGCGCAAGACCCACCTCTCTATCTGTTATGCTTCTTGAATGGTAGGCATTTTACCTCACCAAACGGTAACGAATTTCGGGTGGTTCAGGAAGATGCCTGCCATTCGAGAACCACAACAGATAGGGAGGTCGGACTTGCGCAGAATTGTAGAAAACACTGTGAGCTATCTAGTCATCATGTTGAAATGAAAATCAACCGGAGATTCAGAATCTGGTAACACCATCAGTTTTCATCCGTCAGATACACCGCCTGAAAAACCAAGACTTTTAGTACCAAATATATGTGAAGATAGAGTAAAGCCTTCTCTACGAGATGCTGAAAACCCGAACTTTCTATCTCTTTTCGTTCTCGAGTTACTCAAAAAACATCCATGGCCACTCTGTTGAGAAATCCATAGTAGAAAACCTGTTTGCCTAAAACCGAGTACAAATAACTGGTTATCGGTAACATTTTGAGATGACTAATATAGAGGTTTGTAGCGGTTCGAAATCTTTGTCGAATGACGTATTACTTTACGGTTTCTAATAATCGTTAATTTGCAAATAAAATTATAACGCACCAGAGTGATATTAATTAGTATTTATTAGCATGATTAATTATAAATTTTTGTCTTACGAAAACGTTTTTCATTAGACCATAACAAAAGACCAATGGGTATCAGGCCATGTAAGAACGACATTTCTACGATTATTTTTAACCGAGCTACAAGCTTTGTAAAATGTGAACTAGCTACCCAAATTCTAATTAAAATTTAAACTTAATTAATTAATAACTCTGGAAATACTTACTAGTTCATCGAAAGAACTTAAGGATATATGTAGTCAGATGTCCTCTTTAAACTGCCATAGTTCGAGGACACATATAGGGGGAAGGGCCCTCCCTTAAGATATGGTTATACTAACCTGGAAATTTGTTAACTCGACCTGAATTAAATGCAAAACTTTGATTGCCTTCGTTAAATGTTGAAGAATGCCAATAAATGTCTGAATCTAAAACTGTAGATAAGGCGCACTAAAAATAGAAGATAATCTACATTACTAAATTTCTTTATCATTTTATATTTTAAATTAAACATAAATTTACTTACTTCTTTCCATCCCAATTCTTTGACACACATTCGCACAACATCTAAATTTGACTTTGCTTTACTTGTATCAACACTAATCAAATGTTTTGTGTTCACTTCATCGTTACAGACTATATCACGTGCCGTTTTCATAGCCGATGTTTTTGTCATATCTCCTCCATTACCATTCACTAGATGAGTGAATGATGATAATGGTTGACGTACGGCTGTGATGGCTCGTAACTGTTGTTCACGAGGACTTTGTTTTAACGATTGTTGTACTTGATCCGCAGTATTTACTCGATGTTTAGTACGTGTACGTTTTATTTTTGTTTTTTTTTGCTGCTGTTTATTATTGTCTGTTTGAATTTCTACACTCTGATTTTTGATCAATTTTCTATTCGATGTTGGAATAAATTCTGTATCCTCATCAGACCTCAAAATATTGTCGAGTAGTTGTGATACATCTTCTTTCTTGTCTTGTGATTCGACATAACCACTTTCAATGTATGTATTATAATCTTCATCAAAATTACCATTTTTTAAAATTATTTTATTTTGTGTATTCAATTGTGACATATCGTATGTACTGTCAAATGACCTACTTGCTGTATTCGTTAACTCAAAAGTCTGTTCTTTTGACGGATTTCTTTTTAATGTTCTTGGATTGTTCGCCCATAATATTTTTTCTCGTCTAACTGATTGTTGTTGCGGTAGATTGGAAATGTATTCTGGTGTTATTTCATATTTTGTAAATTTTTTATTTAATAGTTGTTGTTCATCAAACGATTGATTGTTATAGAAAATTAAACTGGAACGAGCGAGTGGTAAATCAAAATCATTATCCGCATGTTGATTTTGTGGTTTTTCTCTTTCGTTAAGTATTTTCGATGGTGACGACAGCAATAATTGTTCTTCCAATGTTTGTTTATCATTAATAATAGTTGATGACGATGAAAATACTTGAGTATGATCTTCCACATCACCAACGTCAACATTACCGATTAAAAATGCATTTTGTTGTTGTTCTTGTAAATGGTTTTTGTTCAAAACCTGCATATGGCTGGTTGTTTTTATAATATTATTTAATCAAATAAAAATATAAAAAACTAATTTTGATGAGTATTTGTTTTGGGTAGATGATGATGAATAAATAACACAGAAAAAATGCATTTAAGACATAAATGACACTTCTAGGAAGACTTTAAAAATATTTTTTTTAGAGTATCATCAGTAGTTGTTAGAAATTTGTATTTTTATTAAATTTAAGTTTAGATTAAATCATCGGCTAATGTTGAGTTAAATGGAAAGTATCATAATCTATATTAAGAAAAAAACATGACACTAGTCTGTTACACGTTTATTATACATACTTGAAGGTTACATAGAATAAAAGCTTAATTTCTTTGGTTCGTTTTCTTTTACACTGAAACACTTTATAGCGTAAAATAGTATTAATTCGTTTTAAAAAGTTGAGCATCCTCTGAACTTCAATAGCTGCGTTGCGGTGGCAGATCATCATCGATGTGACCGAGACGCAGGACAAAACAATTCGATATTATGAGAAGATGAAAGAACAAGAGAGGCTTTCCTATCGTTTCACAGCACTTTCGTCATCGGGTAACGCTGAACTTTCGTCACATAACGAAAGTTCTGCTTTCAATGACAAAGTTCTTTCGGCGTGTGACGAAAGTGTCCGGTGTTTTAGACAGATGCCACAGCACTTTTGTCACACGTTGCATGAAACGGCTGCGATAAAATCAAGGTTGTAGTGCAAAGTTCATTAGTCCAAAGTGTAGTTGTGCAAACTGGAGTAATAACTTGCTTTTGCATTTATAAACATTGTATTTTCTTAGCGAAACGCGTAAAAAACCCTTTTGAAGTCTTTTTCAAAAAATCAAGCGCCTATTGCGTTTGGGAGTAGTTCGATCTGGAGTAGTGTCCACACTGCACCAGTTCAAATTGGAGTAGTCCAAATGCAAGCAGTTCTTTTACAGTAAATACGAATAGTATATACGTGAGAAAAACGACAAAATAAAGCGTTGTTGTGCACATGAACTTTCGTCACACGTTATAACGCGTTATTTGCTGTTATGTTATTAGTGTGACGCAAGTTGTTTTTCAGTTGTGACGAAAGTTTGCGATGAGGTGTGATGATAGTTGTAGGTATGTTACAGTTGGTTAGGAAAGTTCAACACTTTTGTGATGAAAGTGTGGAGTGGTACTCCCCCAAAATGCCATACACTTTCGTCATGTGTTTTTCTATGTGACGAAAATTAACGTGATGAAAGTGCTATTACCCTCCATATCCCAGTGAAACTTCTTATAATCGAGATCTTGAGGAAGATCGTGAGTGCATCCAGTCAAGATGTTTTAAGGCCTTGGTAGTAATTTCTTCACAAGGTTGAGTAAACATTTCTTTGATATCACGTTCTTTCCGTACATGACAGTCATAGCCATTAGACATATGAGAGAAACGTAACTTTCTGGTACAATCACTTGTTTAGATATGTTTCTATAATAACTCAGGTTACAAGAGGCTCGCTTGAGCAAATTTTTTCCTGTGCGTTTCCTAGTACTTTGCCCACTTCCACAAAAATTTTCTACTCGATACGTCCTTTCGTTGATGGGACTCGAAAGTTGAAAAAACTTAATTTTCTGATGACTCATCATCTGCAAACTGAATTTTTGATTATATAAAAAGATATAAAAAGAAAAGGAAAGTAGCGCATCCTGTAGAGAATTGAATCGTGAATCTAACCATATGATTAGTGTTCAACTTTGTTTATTTTTTTTTGTTGTTCATTAGATATAATCATTTTACAAGCATCTTTTCCGTTTTTTTGTAGATCGACCTTCTCTTACAGTTTTTCCCAAAAGTCCGCCACTGAAGAAATTTTTGGAGTGGCTAAATTGTAGATCAGACGTCGGTCTACAACTCTATTTAAAAAAAATCCAGTTTGCATAATTTGGTAGAGATAAAAACAGCTTTCATTCTTGCGGAAGTCAATTTCCGCTCTAAATGTAGACTGACTTTTTGCAACTTGTTTTGCTCAGAACTAATGAAGCATGCGTTTGTTCTCGATGAAACTTCTACACTAGATAGCGCATCAAAAGTTGTACTAGCAAAAGTGATTTCAGATCGAATCCTCATTTTGTTCCTTACTATTTTTACATTATAGGGAAAAATGTAGACCGACTTTTATTTTTAACTAAATGTAGACCAACCTTTTTTCGTGAGATTTTTGGTCAAAGCTAAACGAAAACCATCAATACCGTACACCAGTCGACTCCTCAGACTCCGGCGAGTTTGACTAGCTAATTTCTGGAGCTCTAAAATCTATAGTCTTTGCTAAAATAATGGATAATTCTGAAAGTAGAACCACATAAAGAAATTCGGACTTTTTAGATTTTACCACTAAAGAATGAAAAAACTTTTCTGCGGTTTTTCAGCTTGACGCATTTGCTCACAGTCCCACTGTACTGTTCGAATCATTCTCTGTCGAACGATGTAGAATACATCTATTTCAACCCTTTTTCTAGCAAAATCCTGCCAACAATTCTCTATGGCAAAAACTGAAAATTGTCTCCCTCCTAACTCAGTCAGTATGAGTCTGACAGTTGGGAAATTTTTATTTCTCACAAGTTATATGTAAAATCCGTTCTTTATATAGAGTTGTTACTGCAGAAGAGAACAGTGAATGGCAATTGTATTGGAAAATGATGGGATTTTTTATGATAGAATTCCTGTCACATCCTGTTACAGGATCCTGTAGAAAATTTTCGATGTTCTATCGTAAGAAATTGACAGGACCTTTTTGTAAATTCCTATATGAAGTGTGTGCACATTCTTATGATAGAAATATTATAGATGCTCTTATTATAAAATCCGAAAAACTCTTACAGTAGTGATACTACGCTATTCTATAGGTTTAGGACCTTCCCAAAGGATTTCTAATACAATCTTTTTACTTTTTGATAAATTTGTGTCTTATTTGAAAAAGAGATATCTTCTAACCGATGTATTTAGATTTTCTTCATAACTAGATTCTTTCCCCTTCTACGCAAATTGGTGAATATTCTCGTTTAATCGTCAAATTTGAAAACAGTTTCAACGAATCCATAGAATAAAATCATGAGAGTGTCTAATTACATAAAAATTTTGTGCGTTTATATCCACAATGCGATGTCAGTGAAGTGTTTTTAAGTATGTTTTGTTTTATTAAATACAATAGAGATGTATTAAATATGTTTGTACTGAATAAGTGACATATTGAGTAAAAGTAAACACGTGTGCAAAAAAATGCAATAAAAAAATTTCGTGTCATTGACTTTTCATGACTGTCATATTTATATAGGATGATTATCTAAAATTTTCTACAAGATATCAACACCCTACTCATGACTACACAACGAAAAAAATCGTAGAAAATTTAACGGTTTTTGTTCACAGTTTCTCAGGTCCCGTTTTCTATACTGTTCTTCCTATCGATATTCTTTACGCTTTTATCAGTTCACGGTTTCTTCTACATTTTTTTCACACTTTTTTGTGAACGAATTTTAGTGAACGCATTTTTTTGCATAAACATTGTGCCAGAATAGAATTTGTAGACGCGTGCAGCGCTCTACTTTATTTAATTAGACTAATTCACTCATAAAATGTCGTCTATAGCGTAACCTCTTTAATCACCACAGATATGTTTTGAATCATGATACTAATTCTCAGTATCAGTCGTCAAATCGGCTACTTCTACGTCAAGAAAGTGTTGAAACTAATGCTATTTATATGTATTCAGACAAAAAAAGAGGTGAATCATTTCTGTGTTCATTATTTTCTTTCGTATTTTCTTCTACTGGTGGGACAGTTCCTGGAAACTGAAACTGTTCCACCCCTATTTTCTTCTATACATATCAATTTCTATATTTTTCCCTTATAGTTATTCTTCTCACGGTTTTTCGGTTACGAGTTTTATTTTACGATGTTTAATTCTACGGGTCTTCTCCACGATTTCAATTTTCACGTATTTTAACTTAAGATTTTTCTTCGCCACTTGAAACTCATACCTTTTCTCATCAGTTTTCTACTTCACGTTTTTTTCCGTTGTATAATTCCAAGTAATTCAGTTTCCCAAACGGTACCTAGTGTAATATTTTAGGTCACACAGAATAAACGTTTTGATACATGAGTTGCTTCTTGTAGAATTAATCAAATCAATTATTTCAAAAACTGTGTCACACCAGATATATTAATACAATCGGGTAATTATGATATAAAAAACTAACTGCCATCAAAGGTTAAGGACAGCAAATTTTGTATTGACCACTTTTTGGTAGAATACTAGAAAAACAATACTAGAAATAAACCTCTTACTCTTTATGCTGTTTTCCAGGGGTCTTCATTTATATTAGGCGACAATAATTTGTTTTCTCTCAACTCGTTCTCAATAACTCATTGTTTCTTTAAGAAAAGAAAAATTCATGTAAGCGAAAAAAGTACGTGTTCACCGTCGATATGATGCTTCGATCATATTTTTATCAAAAAGCGTCTGTTTAAGAAATTCTATGGTAACATGTAATACCATTTTCCTATAGATGATGACAATGAATAAAAAAATACATTTTATATGAGGTTAGTTGAACATTTGTACGCAATGTTCATTTACAGAGCGTTCGTTTGGCTCTCTTTTTCACAAACAAAAGAATACCTACCTACTCATAACTAATTACAAGTGACTATGAATTCGGTTTCATCAATGGCATTCACTTTAAACCAGACAAAGTCGTTATCTTGTCCTTAAAATTGACATTCTGACGTATAGGAAATGAAACTAAACTAAAATAATCGTTTTTAACAAGAAAAGATCAAATGTAGGCATGACATGTCAGAACTAGTCCATGTTATTCGCTCATTTTGTCCTTCCTACTCCTGTGAAAGTGTAGTTCAATAAAAAAAAAAATTTCTCCTACTTATTTTGTGTAACTTCAGATAGTTGCTTCACAGACGACAGTCGACGTCTACTTATATCAATTGCAATTCATTGGAGCTGATGAACCCTTAC